GAGGAAAGAAATGAAGAGCGGTTCGGCGTTGGCTCGCGGCCGCGGTTTTTACATCTCCTGCCTTCAGAGATGTAAATTTGCAAGACGAGGTGTTGAAATTTACATTACCGGGAGGCGGAGATGTAATTTTTATTTATATGGATCATCTGTTAGAGAGCTGTTTTTTGCCTCAAAAGGTCCAAAAGTTGGTTATTTTTACATATGGATGTCTATTGGAGATGCTTTTACAACGTACATGATACAAACGCGTGTAACGTCTTGCGTTTACACCATAAACAGTTCACGGAGTTTTCTCCCGGAAACAAACACCTCCAGTATCTCGGAGTACAGGAACCGTAGGCCCAGGTGCGTAAGCTTCATAAATCCGCGTCCATGATTTCTGTCCTGGTGTGCGCAATCCGGTGGAACATCTCACGCACCTGTCGCTCAAGCGGGTCAAGGCCATCCTTGAGGGTCTGGCACATCTCCACCAGTTCCTTTGCGGCCTCCCGCATCTCGGCCTCCTTCTTCTCGCCCAAGGGGAACTGCGCAACGTCTGTGGTCTCCATGAGCTGACGGGACAATCGCTCCATCTGGTGTATCTCCTTGAGCAGCCCGCATGAGTGCGTCCGTTCCTTCTTCTTGGACTCCTCGATGATGCGGCCGTAGAGCGTCTTGACGGGGCCGGACCAGGGGAAGTTATTGGGCACGTCAAAGGGCACCTGGAGGATGCGGTCCTGGCAGGGGATGGCGGCGGCGAGCACCCAGGTCGTGATGAAGAGCATAATACCCATGGTGTACACCGCGGCGGCGAATTGTCGGGTCGCATCGTTCGCGCGGTGCATCGGCAGGTGGCCCACGATGGCTCGTAGCTGGCGCGAGGCGGAGCAGGACCGGGACACACTCGACGAGAGAGACCTGAAGTGGGAGCCGCTGCTGCTGCGGTGGTGGCCGCGGTCCTTCTGCTGCCCCCCATCGTCCATACTGTTGCAGGCCCGGCCGAATGAGCGGTTCCGCTGGCCGCCGTTGGCTTCATTGTCCTCTAGCATGAGGATGGTGAGTTCGGTGAGCGCTTTGCGGGCGCGGCGAATCTGCCCCTCCCCAAGCGGGGCGCCCGGGGTGGAGGCGAGCGCAGCAGCAGTGATGGCGAGGTGCTTGCGGCATTGGCTGAGCAGGTCGACACCGCCGCGCAGCGCGTTGCAGAGGTCGAGCGCTATGACGGTACGCTCGGAGAAGTCGTTGACGAGGTTGCTGTGCGGGGGCCGGGTGAAAGGAAATCCAAGGAGCATGGCGCGGAACTCCTCGAGGCAGATGAGGAAGGAGTTGATCAGCTGTCCCGTCCAGGCGATGGAGAGGATCTCTGGCGGTGCGGTGGTGGCTTCGGAGGATGGGAGAAGGTCAATCAGCAGGGCAGCAGCGAGCCGCTGGAAGGCGCCGACCTCGCCGTTGCCGGTGGGCGAGGAGTCATGGTTGCCGGGCGTGGGTCGGGTCGAGTGGAGGTGGTGGTGGTGGATCTTTTTCTCGTCTCTGTTAATCGCCTGCCGAATTTCCTCCGAACGTCCCATGATTTTGTTCTTGCCCTGAGTCTGTGTACTCTTATTCTCCTCTACATAAGAAATCACATCTACGACTATAGGAGTGTTGGGGTGATACATAATCGCAGCCTCCAACGCAGACTCTGCAGCTTTTATGTCGAATTCTTCATCATCCCCAATTCCAAATTTCACACTGACCTCTATAAGGCCTGTCAAGTCATTGAAGCCAACAATATCAAAGGTATATGGTCTCCACTGGTTTGAATTGAAGCCTAGCTTAAGCTTTTGGACTTCAGTCATTGCTCCTGGCAGAAAGGACAGGCATGGTACAGCACAAACGAACTTGAAGTTGGTGAGTACTTGGAATCCTCCCTTGTCGATGAAGATCCTTTCAGAAGGAGCTGTCTGTATATATAGGGTGAGGGTAGCGAGAGCAGGCAGTCCTTTCAGCATGTCAGTATCATTCATCGACAGCCTCCTAATTGCGATGTTTAGAATGCAGAGGTTCCTCAGCACCTCAAACCACTTAGGCAGGCTGCCAAAGATGCAACAGCTCCGTGACAGCTTGATCTTCCGAAGAGGCAGGTCCAAAGTAGGAGGAGACACTATGCTGAAGCCATCCTCGAGAATATTTACACAATAGGAGACTGAAGCAGTCGGCACCAGAGTAAGGGACTGCAAGGCACTGAGTTTCTCAAGAAGCGAGCCTAGGCATTGCACATTCCTTTCAACAATTTCTGCTGGCTGTATCATAGAACAGGTGAGCTGAAGATGCTGAAGATTGGTCAGCTCTCCCAGATGTAAAACAGCCCCTACTGTGTGACTGCTAACATTCAAATACCCCAATGTGCGAAGAGATGTCATTTGAGCAACTACACTGGGCAGAATGTACTCGCTTGGAAGGCGCAGGTGCAACAATCTCTTCATATTGACAATATCGAATGGAACACAAGATAATCTTGCATCTACTTGCAGTGTCTCCAACTGTTGCAGCCATGGAATGTTGTCTTTATTTGGAAGTTCAACGGCGATATTACATTCAGTCTCGAGATACTTCAGAAGAACTAGCTCCCCGATTCCAGTGAGGTCAAAACTCTCGTTGTCTTCATCAGCCCAAATATGAAGAATCAGAATACGAATAAGTCCACAGTGCACAATGGAAGGTACACACTTGAAGAAACCCCAAAATATAAGCGATCGAACTTGCGATGTTACGATGCTTTCCGGTATATATGCGCCTTTTACCCCTCCAAACTGGATGGATAATCGGCGAACTTTATCAGGAAGTGTGAGGGTTGATTGGTAATGGTCCATATGGATGACAAAATTTTCTTCCATGGATTTGAGCCTGATAAAATCCAGAACCATCTGGTGAACTGTACATGTCAACACCTCGCCGTTATTATTGGTGTCAACGGCCTGGACCATACCTCTGCTGACAAGCTCATCAAAATAACCCTCAACAATTTCTTGTGTGTCTCGCCCTTTAACAACACTGCTAAAACCTTCAGCAGCCCACAGCTTCACCAACTCATCCTTCTTGATCACATGGCCCTCTGAATACATACTGAAATATAGCAAGCATGTCCTCAAACGGGGTGGAAGGCTGTTGTACATAAGGTGCGGAAGTATATTGTACAGAAGATTTAGAACATCCATCATCTCTCCGGAAGTGGACGGCAAAGAATCTTGTATGTGCTCCCACCTCTCCCTTACAATGTTTGATTCGCTTGCTAAAAGACTGGCTATATTTACAATTGCTAATGGCAAACCAGCACACTTCTGGACAATATCATATGAAACTTCTTTGATATCTATTGGACATCCATCTTCAGAGCCAAACACTATACTGAAGAATAACTTTCTAGACTCAGGATCCTTAAGAGGGAACATCTTATATATATCGACTTGGTTATAACTGCAGCATGCCAATGCTACATCATCAATTTGTGTGGTTGTTATTATTCTGCTGCAATAATCACCACGTGGAAAAGCACGGCTAATAATATTCCATACAGATGAAGTCCATAAATCGTCAATTACGATGATGTATCTGCATAATATTTTTGTGTTAGGTCAACAAATCAATGTATATCTTGTTCAAGAGACAACTATCTGATATTGCAAATAAGTAATCCACACAATGTGCTATATTTTAACACACGTCCATACAATTTGGAAAATAAATGCAGTCTATGTTTTCGACAAAGGATGTATTTTATTCATACAAAATGAATCATCAAGAGGATACGAAACACACTATGCACACACCAGACCTATGTGTAGCTAGGATGCACACAGCCAACAATAGCACGCACACACAAAGCGAAGTGATCAAATTTACGATCGACAAACTACAGCTATGCATATTCACATCAATGATCTCATGACACCACCAAGACAACAAGGTTCTTCAACGAGAACGCCTCTAGGGAGCGATGCTCAAGTTTCGCCATCACCGGATCCAAGCAACAAAGGTCAGAATCTAGGATTTCACCCTGAAGAACTAGACCGAGCATATCCTGGCAACGCCTTCAACATGATGATGACACAAAAACATCAACATATAACAAACATGGGCTAGACCTAGGTTTTCACCACAGAGCTCGTTGAAGTTAATCAAGTATTGTTGCTACCACTATCCACAATCCAAAAGCTACATGCGCTGGCATAAAAAACCAAGCGCCACTGCTGCACAATCATGCGCTTTGCGTCAAGCCATTGTCCGTAGATTGCATGACACCGCCGAAGGCAACTACCCAATCTGAAGAGAGGAAACCACACAGAAATCATTCGGTGGCCACCACAATTCATAGCGGTGTTGCCGCCGCAGTCCGGAGTGGTCGTCACTGCCGCCACAGCCGCCGAAGATGGAAAAACCTGATCCGACAAATCAACCAGTACCAGCTGCCATCCGTGCAAACATAGCCACCGCAACACAACCAGGGTGCATCGGCCTGCTAGATCCAATCTGTACGACGGGACACTTGCACTAATGTGGAAAGGCTTATATGCTCTCGCCTTGCGCCGCGTCCCCCCTCCTCTTGCCTTGCGCCGCGTCGCCTCCTCGGCGGCGCCGCGGGATCTGGTTGTCTCTTCTCCGGGACCGATGCCCGCCGCGGCAGCCTCTTATTCGCGCCCTCTGCCCCCCCCCCCAGCGGTCTCCTACTTGGAGGCCTTGACTGCTCCAGCCGGGAGTGGGGAGGCAGATGCGCATTCATTGCCGCCGGGGGCAGATGGTGATTCATTGCAACCGCAGCGGCCGGTGGCGGGGGCTGGTGGGCGACCTCAGTCCATCATTATCGCCCCTGAGCAAGCGATTTCAAGGGCAGCCCACAACCAGAAGAGCATTGATGAGGGTGGGTGGCAAGTGGTGGGGAGGGGGAGACGTCCTCCTTTTTACCAGCGGCCGCCGCCGCGTCCGAGGCAAAGCTTCTCCCATCTCAAAGAGCTGCTATTCAGGAAGACGTGGGGCAAGTGTTTCCGGTGCCTCGAACCTGGCCATCGGGTCGCGAGCTGCACAGGCCGTGCTAGGTGCCTGCTCTGCGGCGAGGTGGGGCATAGAGCTCGGTGGTGCTCTGCTGCTCAGCCGGCGAGGGCAGGTCGAGGTGGGGAGCGGGGGACGCCGGCAGTTGCACAGCGAGTCCGACCGGCAGGCAAGGAGCGCGTCGAGCCGACGGTTGTTCTTCCACCTGAAGGAAATATGCCCTAGAGGCAATAATAAAGTTATTATTTATTTCCTTATTTCATGATAAATGTTTATTATTCATGCTATAATTGTATTAACCGGAAACATAATACATGTGTGAATACATAGACAAACAGAGTGTCACTAGTATGCCTCTACTTGACTAGCTCGTTAATCAAAGATGGTTATGTTTCCTAACCACGAACAATGAGTTGTTATTTGATTAACGAGGTCACATCATTAGTTGAATGATCTGATTGACATGACCCATTCCATTAGCTTAGCACACGATCGTTTAGTATGTTGCTATTTCTTTCTTCATGACTTATACATGTTCCTATGACTATGAGATTATGCAACTCCCGTTTGCCAGAGGAACACTTTGGGTGCTACCAAACGTCACAACGTAACTGGGTGATTATAAAGGAGCATTACAGGTGTCTCCAAAGGTAGATGTTGGGTTGGCGTATTTCGAGATTAGGATTTGTCACTCCGATTGTCGGAGAGGTATCTCTGGGCCCTCTCGGTAATACACATCACATAAGCCTTGCAAGCATTACAACTAATATGTTAGTTGTGAGATGATGTATTACGGAACGAGTAAAGAGACTTGCCGGTAACGAGATTGAACTAAGTATTGGATACCGACGATCGAATCTCGGGCAAGTAACATACCGATGACAAAGGGAACAACGTATGTTGTTATGCGGTCTGACCGATAAAGATCTTCGTAGAATATGTAGGAGCCAATATGGGCATCCAGGTCCCGCGATTGGTTATTGACCGGAGACGTGTCTCGGTCATGTCTACATTGTTCTCGAACCCGTAGGGTCCGCACGCTTAAGGTTTCGATGACAGTTATATTATGAGTTTATGAGTTTTGATGTACCGAAGGAGTTCGGAGTCCCGGATGAGATCGGGGACATGACGAGGAGTCTCGAAATGGTCGAGATGTAAAGATCGATATATTGGACGACTATATTCAGACATCGGAAAGGTTCCGAATGATTCGGGTATTTTTCGGAGTACCGGGTAGTTACGGGAGAAGTAATGGGCCTTGATGGGCTTTAGTGGGAAGAGGAAAAAGGCTGCTGCGCCCCCCTCCCCTTTGGTCCGAATTGGACTAGGGAAAAGGGGGCCGGCCACCTCTCCTTCTCCTCCTATTCCTTCTCCCTTCCTCCCCTCTTGGTGGACTCCTACTAGGACTTGGAGTCCTAGTAGGACTCCCTATCCTGGCCGCACCTTTGCCTTGGCCGGCCTCCTCCTCCTCTATCCTTTATATACGGAGGCAGGGGGCACCTCTAGACACACAAGTTGATCCACGTGATCTATTCCTTAGCCGTGTGCGGTGCCCCCTGCCATCATATACCTCGATAATACTGTAGCGGAGTTTAGGCGAAGCCCTGCTGCTGTAGTACATCAAGATCGTCACCACGCCGTCGTGCTGACGGAACTCTTCCCCGACACTTTGATGGATCGGAGTCCGGGGATCGTCATCGAGCTGAACGTGTGCTCGAACTCGGAGGTGCCGTAGTTTCGGTGCTTGATCGGTTGGATCGTGAAGACGTACGACTACTTCCTCTACGTCGTGTCATCGCTTCCGCAGTCGGTCTGCGTTGGGTACGTAGACAATACTCTCCCCCTCGTTGCTATGCATCACATGATCTTGCGTGTGCATGCGTAGGAAATTTTTGAAATTACTACGTTCCCCAACAGTGGCATCCGAGCCTAGGTTATTTATGTTGATGTTATATGCACGAGTAGAACACAAGTGAGTTGTGGACGATACAAGTCATACTGCCTACCAGCATGTCATACTTTGGTTCGACGGTATTGTTGGACGAGACGACCCGGACCAACCTTACGCGTACGCTTTGCACATAGATGGCTTGCGGGCGACTGTCTCTCCAACTTTAGTTGAACCGAGTGTGGCTACGCCCGGTCCTTGCGAAGGTTAAAACGGAGTCTATTTGACAAACTATCATTGTGGTTTTGATGCGTAGGTGAGATTGGTTCTTACTTAAGCCCGTAGCAGCCACGTAAAACATGCAACAACAAAGTAGAGGACGTCTAACTTGTTTTTGCAGGGCATGTTGTGATGTGATATGGTCAAGGTATGATGCTGAATTTTATTGTATGAGATGATCATGTTTTGTAACCAAGTTATCGGCAACTGGCAGGAGCCATATGGTTGTCGCTTTATTGTATGCAATGCAATCGCGATGTAATGCTTTACTTTATTACTAAACGGTAGTGATAGTCGTGGAAGCATAAGATTGGCGAGACGACAACGATGCTACGATGGAGATCAAGGTGTCGCGCCGGTGACGATGGTGATCATGACGGTGCTTCGGAGATGGAGATCACAAGCACAAGATGATGATGGCCATATCATATCACTTATATTGATTGCATGTGATGTTTATCTTTTTATGCATCTTATCTTGCTTTGATTGACGGTAGCATTATAAGATGATCTCTCACTAAATTATCAAGAAGTGTTCTCCCTGAGTATGCACCGTTGCGAAAGTTCTTCGTGCTGAGACACCACGTGATAATCGGGTGTGATAGGCTCTACGTTCAAATACAACGGGTGCAAAACAGTTGCGCACGCGGAATACTCAGGTTATACTTGACGAGCCAAGCATATACAGATATGGCCTCGGAACACGGAGACCGAAAGGTCGAGCGTGAATCATATAGTAGATATGATCAACATAATGATGTTCACCGATGAAACTACTCCATCTCACGTGATGATCGGACATGGTTTAGTTGATTTGGATCACGTGATCACTTAAAGGATTAGAGGGATGTCTATTTAAGTGGGAGTTCTTAAGTAATATGATTAATTGAACTTTAATTTATCATGAACTTAGTCCTGGTAGTATTAGCATATCTATGTTGTAGATCAATAGCTCGCATTGTTGCTTTCATATGCTTATTTTGATATGTTCTTAGAGAAAATTGTGTTGAAAGATGTTAGTAGCAATGATGCGGATTGGATCCGTGATCTGAGGTTTATCCTCATTGCTGCACAGAAGAATTATGTCCTTGATGCACCGCTAGGCGACAGACCTATTGCAGGAGCAGATGCAGACGTTATAAACGTTTGGCTAGCTCAATATGATGACTACTTGATAGTTTAAGTGCACCATGCTTAACGGCTTAGAATCGGGACTTCAAAGACGTTTTGAACGTCATGGACCATATGAGATGTTCCAGGAGTTGAAGTTAATATTTCAAGCAAATACCCGAGTTGAGAGATATGAAATCTCCAACAAGTTCTATAGCTAAAAGATGGAGGAGAATCGCTCAACTAGTGAGCATGTGCTCAGATTGTCTGGGTACTACAATCGCTTGAA